TGCAAATTACGCGTGGCTGGATAGAGTGCGCCGAAAGAGAGAGATTATTGGGCGACAACGCGCGGAGGAGCGGGAACAGTCGCCGAGGGTTGAAGATGGAAAAGCTGACGAATGCGCTGGGCGGAGGACCGAGGCAGCCCTCGCCTCCTTCGCGTTATTTTGTTAATTAAAGCGACTTCGGCAGCCGTCGCGAGCAATTAAACCGCCGGGGCGGAAGGAGAACTCGCGACCTGTCCTCCGAGACGAGCGACTTCGACGCGTAGACTCTAATGAGCAACGTTCCGTTCCATTCCGCTCGCCGATCCCCCGCGGACTCGGCTTTCTTACGGTGTTCCGTTGATTGGTCTACTTGCGGCGGCTCCCGGTGAACGATGGGGTCCTTAGGAATTCAATGCCGGAATGTTTTGTCTGTTTTCCGAGCGCTTAGCTTTGGATGCGGTTGCTGTTTGATTAGGGGAGCTTGCTTTGTTCGTTGTAACGTGTTTTCGTGGAAGGGGTGTGTCGGTTATTATTTGTATTAACCCTTTGCACTCGGAAGTTTTTCACTGGAAATATTTTAACATTGATGAGATGGAAACGATGTTTTGTGAAACTCGAGAAATCGTAACGGACATTGAGGAATAAAGCTGTTTTATTTCAATATTTCTCTAATTAATGCGTTATCTAAGGTGTAATATTGAATATCAAATTTTATAGTTTTACTGTGTGAAATCAGGTGGTGAGTCACCTCTCGAGTGCAAAGGGTTAATTGCGTGTGAATATATTTAGGGACGTGTTAGGTAGCATTATGTAGATATTGAATATTAATATTCAATCAGCGTTCACACATTGCATCGTTCTACCAGAATTATTCGAAAATTTCAACTCTCCGATAAAATCCAACCCCTCGAAAACATCTAAAAATCCAATATCCTCAGAAACCCCATATCTTCAACAAATCCACACTGTAAACATTTCAAACGATCAACAAATTTAACCTCTCATCTATTCCTCGTCGACGAAACTCAATTCTTCTACTTCAATTCTACTTCCATATTTTATTAAATACATATACGTATATTGATAATCATTATATAAATCTTACTAGTAATCTTCAAATTGAACTTGTTATTGATTTCACTGCTGAATTTATTATTGACCTCACTACTGATCTTACAATTAACCCTTAGCAATCCAAGTTGTTTCGTAAACGGTAGACTGTCACTTTCGCGCTCCCCAAAATACATCCTCCGAATCCCCAACGCCCCGAATCGGTTTCCTTCCTACAACAGTGACCTACTACAGAGTAGGTTCAGTGTTAACCCACGATCCTCTCTTCAGCCGTCCGTCCGTCCAGCTCAGCTTCGTCCGAGTCGTCTAAACACCGCGTCGTATCCGGTTACCCGGTCCCGTTCAACGGGCAAAGGGAGTCGGATGGCCCCGGGGGGTCGAAGGGCGCGGGACGCGAGGCTCCCGCGGAAGACAGGCAGCGAAAGCAACGGTAACAAACGTCCGCCGTCTCTTATACAAAGTATCCACTTCCACGTTCGTTTCTCTTCCACACTTTTAAGCGATAACGAACGCCGCCGGCGGTTTCGTGCGGGGCTCGGCCGACCGGAGGGCGAAAGGCAACAGCAGCAGCAGCAGCGGCGGCACCGTTAACCCGCCGCTGTTTCCCGACAGTGTTTGCGAACGAGGATAAGGCGAAGCTCGCGCTGCAAACACGAGAAATATGACCGCAGCCGGGGCTCCGCGGTTTGGGATTGACCTTAATCGCGGCGAGCTCGGGACACTGAGACGGGGAATCGGTCGGATTGATCTTTGAACTTTATTGGCTGCGTGCGGCCTCTTGGTTTTTCGCCGAGCGGAACTTTCGGACGTTGGATCCCGGCGAATGGGTTTCGACCGTATTTCGGAGGTTGTACGTTTGAACTTTGGATTTTAACCTTTTGCGCTATATCGTGTCGAACTGGCACAGATTTTAAATAGAAGGAATATAAATATTATTCGATTTGGTTAAATGCTAATTATATTGCTGTGTTGTCTGTGGTTATACCTTTGACACGTTGACGTAGAAGGGATTGTTTCTAATAAATTATTAACTCTTTGCACTCGAGAGGTGACTCTCAGTCACTACTTTATTTGATGCAGCAAAAATATAGAGTTGGGGTTAATAAGAAAGTAGATCGTTCACAGTTCGGAAAGAAATAGGGCGAGGAGTTAAGTAAACGGAATATGGAATTTTTATTTGGAATTAATAATATTGAAAGTATTTGTAGAAAGATTGACGAGTTATTTAGTTTTCATAAGTTGTGAATATAAATTTTCAGGGGGTTCGTAGAGGAAGGGGTTGATTTAGGTTCTATAGACGATGGCTTGTTCATTTGAAATGAATAATATTGAAAGTATCTGTGAAAAGATTGACGACTTATTTAGTTTCCTCAAGTTGTGAATATAAATTTCCAGGGGGTTCGTAATGGAAGGGGTTGATTTTTGGTTCCATAGGCAATGGGGGTTGATTTTACGTTCTATAGACGATGGACTATTAATTTAAAAAGAATAATATTGAAAGTATCTGTGAAAAAATTGACGACTTATTTACCTTCCTCAAGTTCCAAATATAAATTTTCAAGTGATTCCTAAAAAAGGGGTTGATTTTCGGTTCCACAGACAACGATAGCGGATGTTTAAAACTGTAAATGGTACATCGCCGAAGAAAACTGCGCCCGTGCGCTGGATTTGCTAATATAATATTCATTCTGTTGAAGTAGCATTTCATCGCGAGTTGAACGAACAAACTAACACTCGTGTTTATTAACTTCCCTCCGGATTAAATATTGCTAACGGCGAAGCGGGCGTTTCGATTCGAGCCGGGCGGAGCTAGGTAATTAAAACATGCATTAAATTCAGTTCGACGTTTTCGCCGCGCGGCTGGCTCGTTATCAGCGCGGAGGTCTAGGAGCGGGGCGAATTATCCCGTGCCGAAGCTGAACTCGGCGTATCTGTAACGGTTCAGGTAAACGGCGATGAACCATGAACTTCTGTCGACAATCAGACACGTGTATCGCGAGGAACCGCCGGCGCGCACACCGGGGGTAACCAAGTGTGCCCGCTCGAAGGGCGCACGCGAGCAACGTCAAGCTCAACTTCAAATTGAGTTGTCATCCACTACCGCGAGTTAGACGCCGCCTCGATTATGTTGCCCGGGATGCGAGAATTATTGAGTCCGAGACCCCTTCCGACAGTTCGGGATACTTTGATAATAGCATTAGATACTTTCTTCGCCGGAACGACCGAGTTAATGGATATAGAGCACTTCAGTGATTGTCAAACGGTTGAGATATACTGCCGAATAGTTAGCGAGATGTTAGCGCTAGATTTAGAGACGTTTATTGCGCGAGTTATTCCATTGTTAGGAAAATTGGTGTTTAGTGTTAGTTTCGATCTTGGAGATTAGGAGTTTAGAAGTAGATTAGGATACTCGCGTAATTGCATTGATTCTATGTTTATAATTCATTTTTAATCGTAATTACTATGATTTATTGGATTAAAGGATGATTGTTTAGAAACTTTTCTATAGTATAATTTCACTTAACCAGTTAACTGTGTGACACACGTCTTAAAATTATTAATGATGCTGACTTTTTCAACGATGATTTATTTTTTGAGATAAACATGTCATTCTTTGTTTCTCTTTAGTTTTTCGATAGGATATATTTTAAGCGCATAATAAGAGATTTTTCTAAATTCCACACTTAACTGGTTAATGCACTGGTATTGAACGATGCAAACTTGCAATGATAACGACGTAATTCAATTACACAAGTTGATAGTATATTATTTCCATTTTCTATGTTTCTCGGCAAAATCGTGCGGTATTCAATGTGTTGACTAATGTTTCTAACACTCGATGTACGTCTAATTGTCGTAAATCGTTTTTATTACCCAAAACCTTCCGCAGATTCTGCCAAATTAAACGCTGAATACTTAAATCATAAAGAATAAGGAAACTGTACTCATTTCTTGCTGTTCGAATCGTTGAATCAGATAAATATATAAAGAATCGTAGATAAATATATAAAGTATTTTACTTAATTAAGTATATCTCAACCTTGCTTATTACATAAGCGTGGCTATTCAGGTCTTCGTTATGTCTTGGTTAGGTCTCGGTTAGGTGACTGCATTAGTAACAAGGATTTTCAAAGTGAATCGCGTCTTTTCATCGAAATTACCCCAACGTTCCGATCAAACGGACTTTCTACTCAGTTTACCCAGAGTCGCGATCCTCGGAGCGGGTTTTATACAATTTCCTGTTCCCCCGGATCACGAGTATTAAATCCCGCGGACGTGTCAAGGGCCAGTGTAGCGGGGACGCTCTCTACTTGCTCGAAAACCGACCATTCGTTTTCATAACTGGTTCACCGTGTCCACGGGGATTAATATTCCTGGACTATTCGAAGCTTTGAACGATTCCGATGGGGATCGTGCGCGCTGGTTTCTTTGACGCTCACGGAATGCACGGTATCTGGAAATATTACCGATTCGACAAATTTCTATCTCTCCTGCGCGGGCGATATGCGCCTCGAATTATTTTTCAGATTAAAACGGGCGTAGTATGATCCTTGCGCCGGTTAATTGGTAGTTATTAAAAAGATAGGTGTTTCTTTGAGAAATTATTGGAGAAATTAGTTTAGCAACACGCAAACTGAATTATAAATCGAAGAATATGAAAGAAATCAAAATTTTGAAGTTTCTGTATTATTTTGTATGAGAAATTATTGAAGAAACTGATTTAGCAACACGCAAACTGAATTATAAATTGAAAAACATAAAAAAAAATCAGAGTTTTGAAGTTTCTGTATTATTTTGTATGTTAATTGAAATTTTGGAAATTCTTGTACTATAACTGTTTGATAGTTTTAGTGTTAATATCACGGGATAATGATCATACTATGAAGAATTCTTTGAAATAAATATCAATTCATCGAGCTAATCTACAACTGACGGTTTTCTGATTGCAGAAGGCCGAATCCTGGAGCTTCATTCGCCAGACGGTGTTCACGAATGTTGGTTGAGAGCTGCGGACAACGCAGAGGCGAACGTGTGGTTCAATGCGCTGCACTCCGCCCTTGCAGCCTTAACCCAGAAGGCGCTGCGACTGGCTTCAGCGCTTCCGGACCCGCCACACCTTCAGCACATTGGCTGGCTCGCGAGGAGACACTGTCTTCAGGTAATTATCAATTAATTCGTTAAAAAATTAATAAGAGTATTTATCTAATGAGATCACAAATATTGTGTTATTACAAAAGAATATCGAGAAATAACATTTGTTCAAGTAAATTTACTTTGATTTATTTCTTGAGAAACATAGTAAGAAAATTATAATTGCTTACAATAATTCGCTTTCCACAATTTTGAACACAAGAAGAGCGCTACAGCGTTCCTCAGCACTCAAACGGTTAAATATCGCACTGTTCATTCTACATATAATCAACATAACAAAAGAATAACCCACAACTCTATCAAACTAACAACTATTTCAAAATTTGCTTATCTCACGAAGCAGTAATTATAATTACAATTATCCTATTCCTAGGAAACGCATTCGTCTATACAAAAGACGAAGACCGTAGCTTCGAAAGTAAATTTACCGTCAACATTTTCATCCTTTCTTAATATATTATTCTTCGTAACCAGAACAATTATGGAACCAAGCAACCAGTACTATTCCCCATGAAACCAATTTCCTCCGGAAATATCCAGAAATCCGTCAGCAACGAACCCAGCCCCACAATGCATTCTACAGTCAACTTCAGCCTCTCCCCGGCGAGGCTTCCCCATGTTAGCAAACCTCCAGCCAGATCCAAC